ATAGATAAATTAGTAAAGAAGTAGTAGTTGGTGCTGCAAAATACTAACTCAGTGTATCTTTGGGTTTATTAAACTTGCTCATCTATAATAGGACGTGGCCGCGGCTGGAGAGAATCCGATAGCTTTGAGCTGGGCAGTATGCTTTTTGAAGAGACCTTCAATCACAGTAGAAGAGACATTACTGACCATTCTAATAACGTACTTGCCGTCCATTTTGGTTAGCTCACGATAGAACACCCAAGTATCGCATCGGGGGGAGCGCCGGCTATTAGTTCGCACGGGTGGAACTAGGCGCCGGATTTGCACAGGCGCACCAGTACCAGCTAGAACTGCCTGGCGTTCTTTGGTTGACTTCGCTGTTTGGAGAAGGTATCCGCCCAAAAGAGCAGACTCGACTCTTTGGGTCTTATCTAAATCGGCTGCGAAAGGAAGAGGTTTAATGTACGGCCGGATCTTTTCAATAATGCTTTTGATCTGTTTTTTTGATTTGATAGCATTTTCCATGTTCTTCTCATTGATACCATGGTCATAACAAAACCTGCGCCGATCACGGGCTTCTTCATAATCTTTCATCATGAAGTAATAAGCTAAATGATCGCTTGTCTCATTGGCTAGATCGAACTTTTTCTTATCAAAAATCATGTTGCCAGTCATGGCGGCTAAAGTGGCAATCTCTTCTTCAACCGAGTACCGAATGGATTCCAAAAGGGTTTTTGCATCACGCGGTTCTAAAGGAAATTCGACCATAAGCACTCCTTCTTCAGTGATTTCCCCATTAGCATCTATTCCGCCTAGGAAGTACAGCTGGTTCAGAGCTACAATCACTGAATCGGGCAACGGCGGCTCAATAAAATCAAAAGTAACTAGGTTTTTGATACCAAGTCGGGCCATTTTCAAAACCAACGATGATAACTCACCCCGTAAAATCTCAGGAATAGTAAAGTCTTCCATTTTATGGTAGACCTCTTCTTCATAAAGCCGGTAGCAAATACCCGCTCTTACTCGACCCGCCCGACCTTTGCGCTGATCGGCACTTGATTTAGAAATCAAAAGCTTCAAAAGCATCTCTGATTTCATAGCTGAATCAAAAACTTTCTGTTTTGAGTACCCACAATCTATCACATAAACAATACTCTCTATCGTAATAGAAGTCTCGGCTATATTAGTAGCAAAAATAACCTTACGTCCTCCCTTATCCTCAAAGATAGCATTTTGGGCATAAAGAGGCAGTGAAGAGTACAGAGGCAAAGGAACCAACTTATTCTTAAAAGATCTCTGTAATGAACTAATCTCACGACAGCACGTTTCAATCTCATCCTCACCCGTAAGAAAGACCAGAATATCACCCGGCGGCTGAGTATTGTGAATATCAATAACTGTTTTAATAGCCTTCTCTACATACTTCTCATGACTAGATAAGGGCGTGTACTTTAGATCAATGGGGTAAGAGCGACTCTTGATATGAAAAGTAGCTGAACCGGGTAAGTAAGTCAAGAACTTCTCAGTCGCCATTGTTGCACTCATAATAATAATCTTTAAATCGGGCCTATCTCTAATGGCATCTTTAACTAGACCTAAAAGTAAATCTATGTTGATCGTCCGTTCATGAACTTCATCAATGATAACTGCTTTGTACTTCTTTACCAGAGGATCATCGATAAAGTCGCGCAGTAAAGTCCCGTCAGTGACATAGCGGATCATTGTCTGCTCAGAAGTACGTTCTTCAAACCGGACACTATACCCTACCAGACTGCCTAGAGGAGTGCCTATCTCTTCAGATACGCGGCGGGCAATACTGATGGCAGCGATACGACGTGGTTGCGAGCACACAACGGACTCTTTAAACATTTCGTATATGTATCTGGGTACCTGGGTAGTCTTCCCAGTTCCAGTTTCGCTTGATAAAACAAGTACTTGATTTTCACGAACTAATCTTTCAATTTCGGGCCGATTTTCCTGTATTGGAAGTAGCATACTATTGCAAATTTTTGCTTACCATATATAGATATTAGCTTGCTTATCTTGTTTATTAGTAAATTGTTAAGTTTAGATTGGGTTTTGGGTTGTGCTTATCAGTATTTTGACCTGTTATGGAAAGAGGTTTATTTTTTGTGCATTTTCAAGCCTAAGAGGTTTCCTATCTTATCAATTGCTTCCAGGGCATAGTCTAGATCTTTCTGGGTATGTGCTACTGAGAGACAGAACCGGACTCGGCTGCTGATAACGGGTGTGGCTGGGTATCCGACTACTACCACGGCCAGGTTTTCTTTTAGAGATAAGCGGGCAAATTCAGCTATCTTACCTGGATTGTAAAGAAGTAAGGGCACGACTGGGGAGTCTTTTTCACCGATAATGATGAAACCCATTTTCTCGAGTATTTGCCGGAAGTACAAACTCTTCTTGGTCAGGGTTTGAATCTCGGCAATACCTTCCCGGCTGCGAATGCGTTTGAAGCAGGCCAAGATCTGCACGGCTACAATAGGAGACATTTGTTCACCACGACTAATTAGTTCGGATTTAGATCTAATCAAGGATATTACGTTTTTAGTCGAGGCAATATACCCACCGGCTGCACCAAAACTCTTTGTAAACGTCCCCATCAAAACATCTACTTCATCAAAATCAACTCCTAGGTATTCACAAACTCCACGGCCTGTTTTTCCCATGGCACCAATTGAATGGGCTTCATCAATAAACAGGAAGAACTTGTACTTCCTTTTCAGTAGAATCAATTCCTTCAGCCGCACACACTCGCCTTCCATGGAGTAGAGACCTTCAACAATCACTAAAATCCGTCCAAAGGGCCGATGTGTTTTCTCTTGGCCCTGGATGATTTCATGGCGCAGAATCATTTCCAACTTCTGGAAGTCATTATGCGGGAAGATCTTAACCTTACAAGGACTAACTCGGGTGCCAAAAAAGATACTGGAATGGTTCAAACTATCAGTAACAATAAGATCACCCTTATCTACTAAGTAAGGAATAGTGCAGGCATTAGTGGCAAATCCCATAGGAAAGACCACAGCGTCCTCTTTATAAAGAAAGGTAGCTATCTCCTTCTCAACCTGCACAGTTAGGGGACAGCGAGGCATGAACTTAACCGGCGCACAATAAGAAATTGGGTACTTATCAATCGCCTCTTTAACCTCCTTATTGTACTTCCCGGCGTATCCCAAGTAGTTGTACGACCCCAAATTAAGACAAGTTCTGGACTCTCCCGTTAGCACCAGCTCATCATTCTTAGTCCGAGCCCGCAGCAAGACCTCTACCTCCCGACCGGGCGTACCTGTAATTGGCCGATTCCAGCAATCATTAATCCGACCGTACAGTCTTCGGGTGTAGAAACTCCCAGAGGCCGTAAATAAAGGCGGGCGACCATTACTGGCAAACAAGTGTCGGTACTTCTGAGGGAAAAGCCGACGGCCAATCAAATCCCGAGCATGTCCCAAGACGATAATGATAAAGTACGAAAAGTACGTAGTTATCATGGTGAAGAATGGAACATTCAAAACACTCATTCCCTCTCCCAAACAATCAACCCAAATACCCAAAAAGGNTACCCAAAGAGGTTCTAGATTCATGGCCCGATTAATTACCCTACTCCCATCCAGCACATCCCAATAGACCTATACCCTCCACTTACTCACTCACTCCACTCCATTACACTTACTTATATACCCACCTACCTCAATACTAACCAGCCCATGCTATCTACCGGCCACACTACTTCTCTTAATCCTAACTCAACCCAATCCATCCTAATCCTAACTCAATCCAATCCATCCTAATACCAACCCAACTCAACCTAATACATATCTTAATACATGTTATACTAATAATGATTTATTTAGTTCAATATCTATCAATTTATCTACTTCCAGCTGGTAATACTCGAACCTCGCCTAAAGACTCTCCTAATCGGACTACACCTTCCGAACAAGTCAGCTCAAACTCACTTGGTGCCTCAAAGAAAAGCACGACCGTTGATCCTAAGTTAAAGTTACCCAACTCATCGCCTTTGC